TAAATTTTATGCTGTTATGGGTTGCGCGAATCAAAGCACCAGAAATGCGGACAAATTTTATTTTCCTTTCCCAGCAATTAGCAACAATAAAGGTAAATATATACAGGATGGGGAAAAAAGGCGGAAGCTTTGGTTAAAAGCCTTGAAACGGGTGGATTTAACGAAGCCAAAGTAAAGTATTCCTATGTTTGTTCGGATCATTTTATTTTAGGTACAGTAACTACCTATTAGATTTACAGTTTTTAATAAATTACTACATTGGTGCTCTTTTAGGCAAACCCGCAGATTTGTCGGATGTGGACCATCCTGATTATGTTCCATAACAAAATTTAGGATATTAAAATAAATCCACTCATAATACTTGTAATGTTGAAAGACACAGTCGTTTAAAAAAGAGAAAACTGAATAAATGCCTGTAGAGTTTTGAATGCACGAATTTCATTGTGGGTTATTTTATTTATTCCAAAAATAAAAAAGTTTAGAATGGTATTCATTGTTATGGTAGAGAAATCGTCTAAATACAAATTAAAATCACTTGCACTCATTGTATAAGGATCTACGCCGTTTAAATTGTTTAACTTTTGTACATATCTGTTTTTCTCTTTGACAGAAAGACATCGTGCATAATCACTTAAATTCTCCATACTTTAAAAACAAATCACACACCTTCACTTAAACCCGTCACATTAACCTCAAACGAAAATATTAATTTCCGATTTACCGCTTAAAACACACGGATGTATTTTGGGTGACAAGGAATTCAGACCAAGACAGCGTTCTGTATTTTTATTTTTATTATGGTTTTTTTAACTCAAATCGCCAAAAAAAGCACCCAGATACACAGAAAAGATATGAAAGAAGCTATTCACGTGTTTATTTTCTAGATAAATACCCACACTTTTAAATAAAATGCGAAAATGTTAACATTATCACTTATGGAGTTTCACGGCGCTTGTCAAACGCTGAGTTCCCGCCACAGCGTGACGTCACGTGTTATTGGCTAATAGAATAAGTTTACAACACGTGTTTCTCGCGCCGCGCCGACCGGAAGTCTGCAATTTTCGATTAAAAGGGCGCAAGAATTAACCGCGCGGGTTGGGGACAACTGTATCATTATGAAAAATACGTTTGATTGTCGTTAAACAAAGGCTTCCTCCCATTTTATTAACTACCAAACCAACTAATTTAAACCTAGCGCTTCTCACGTGGTTACACTCACACAAACACATTCATAATGATCCTACGCCATGCCGCTTCTCTACCAACCCTCTAACCGAAATCTTCCTAGCGCTACGTGCTGCCATCTAACTCAAAGATCATGCATTAACCAGGCATGTCTATTTCGTTGCCTATGTTTAACGATTCCCTTTTCGTGATTGAAATTTTTTTTGTTTCAAATTCAAATTATTCAAATGTGATTTCGCGCCGCTGTCAATTAATTTCAGCGCGAAAACTTTGATTTAAATTCGGTCACCACACCAGTTTAAATGTTTTTATCATTAGTTCAATAAAAATTATTCCGGCGCGTATACGTGTTCTATAATACGACAAGAAAGGAGTTAAAACTCCAAAAATTTCAGACCAATCGGTGTGGTAGTTTCGGAGATAATCTGTCTAATAAAAATCCGGACAAACAAACAGATAGGCATACGGAACCAGGAGACCATTTTCTCTGTACTCTTGCGGAGAGACATCACGAAAATATGAAAGTTGCCAATTGTCCGATGAACTCGATTACGATACTCGCTTAGCTTACGCTCAGGGAGTGATCACGATATAAAATTGGGGATATTAAAAATCTAACTTAAAACTTTCGAATTTTTTCGGTCTTGTCTTTCTCTTTACTCTATTCGAATTCGTCTTCAAATTTCGTTTTTTACTTTTTCACTCGTGGCATCTTCTTGCTTCTGTTCTTTCCTTCAACTTCAGTTTCTTTGACGTTTTTGTTTTTCCTGTTTTTTCTAGCCGTCGGGATCCATTCGTTTATGGATTTTGGTAGCGTTCTCACCATCCTTTGGGGACACTTTAGAACATTAGGTACACTTTTTTGCGCGATTGAGCTCTATTTGATTGTTTACCATGCCTGTGTCTAAGACAGTACGTGGTGTTTACTGCTTGTTAACGATCAACTCGACGGTAAGTATTTTTGGTGTTCTAGAACAGTAAGTAATTTTATTCAAAATGAATCAATTATTACAATAATTAAGTAACAAATAGGTATTTATAACTTATTTCTGGAGATAAATGTTGAAGGTACAATTATAACACTGCCAATTGCCAAAGGAAGCTTATTTTGGAAAACAGACGCTAAAGACAAGATATTAGCATTATCTGGAAACTCGTGCGACATTAGTGAACTTGTCCCAACATCAGGCGCGGATACAGGATTTCGTTAAGGGGGGGGGGGGGGGTAATTTTTGTGCGATTTTACCTATCTCCCAGAAATTCGTTCTAAAAAAAAAAATATAAAATTTTAGCTAGTATACTCATTTTCACATAACATGGGTGACATTTGGTTGTTTTCGTTACACGTATAGTGTACAGTAGAACCTCGATAATCCGAATTAATTGGGAAAAAGGTGTGTTCGGATTAATGATTTGTTCGGATCAGCGATTTTCCCAAAAATCAAAAAAGGGAATTGAATAACAACTTCATACACAGTTGAAAACAAACTTCAAGAAATAAACCTTAATTTTATTAAACAAAATTAAAGAATTCTTAAGCAACAATGGATAATAGATACATTCTAAAAAAATATTACTCCGTGACCATAAACACGCTATCTTTTTGAAATCAACACGCCGGGATCTATACCCTGAATTTTTTCAGAATTTTTTGATGAATTTTTCAAAAATTAAATTTTCCATTATGTATTACCTCCATTATACAAATTTCGACCCATTCTCGACGATTTTCGAAATTTAACTAAATACATTTTCTTGTAGATTTTGGGCCTCAGAAGTCACTTCTGGCTTCATTTCTTCGATAACTTAAACCATTTTTTCAGATTCATCCAGTTGAAATAGTTCGATTTTTAAAAATTTCCAAAAAATCGAATTTCACACCAAATTTTCCGAAAATATTACTCGATTACCATTAACATGCTGTATTTTTGGAATCAGCACGTGGGGACATACATATATCCCTGAATTTTTTCAGAATTTTTAGGAAACTTTTTCAAAAATGAAATTTTCCTCATGCAAATTTCGACCCATTTTCGACGATTTTCGAAATTTAACTAAATACTTTTTCTTGTAGATCATCATTTCTTCGATAACTTCTACCTTTTTTCCAGAATTAGTTAATTAATTCAGTGCATTGAAATATAGCAATTTTTAAAAATTTCAAAATATTCCATACACACATGCATGAGGTTGTACTGTATTTACAAAATGAAAAGCGATTTCAAAATTTTGAACTTGGTCAAAATAAAGTACCTCGGTCCTGTATCAGGGGGGGCAATTGCACCCATTGCCCCCCCCCCCCCCCTAGATCCGCGCCTGCCCAACATTAACATTGTCGAAATTTTCACCCATCACGTTTTCTTGATTACAGATTGAGGTCGATGGTTTTGAAAATTCTTCACTTTTGTCACCGTAAAGATTTTTTTTTCACCAGTCGTTAAAACTTTAATGTGTTTTAGTAGCGATCTCTCGATTTGACCGGAATGAGAGTCGAACATCCCAGATTCCAAGCTTCTTTGATTTCGCTTTCATATTCAGTAAATTCACTCGTTTTCACTAGTTTTAATTAAATGTTAATTGTAAAATTTTACAAAAAACTGTAATGGCTGCAGTTATTTAGCATTAAACTTAGAGTTCCGTAAAATAAAAAAGATTTGTTGATTGTTCCGTACTCTTAAAAGTTTACGAATCGCTCACTAAATGCGTGTAAGTAAAGTAGTCTAGTTGTTGCGATAAACACATCACGAGAGAAAAAAAAGCATGTACAATATCTAGAAAGCTTATTTATTTAAAAATTTGTCAACACATATTGACATTTTGTAAAGTGGTCTTTGCAAATTTCTACTAAATATAACGTCTGCAGAGGGTCAAGTACAATTGTGTGCCTCTACAATGAAATTATTGGTGGAACTCTGCTATATAGTTTTGGTTGCGATGTTTTGCCTAGCTCAAGAAGAAGAAAAAGAACCCACCATGTGTTATAGTTGTAACGGCGTGTGCGAAAACCCCGTCGATACAACAAAATGTAAAAGAATCGAAAACTATACCCAAGTATGTATGGCAAGTATTCGTAAAAGATGTAAATATAATAATTACACCCTTACTACGTTGGTAAATGAGTTACTTGCAGATGATGGTACGTTCAGCGAATACAGAAGTTGCGCTAACCACAAGTACACTCCGCCAAAAATGTGCATCAACCACACTAACAAGAAGTGTTACCAGTGTTATACCAATTTGTGCAATTCGGTAAAATTAGCTTTCGAAGAAACCAGTTCGTCGCAAAAAAAGCCTTCGTTGTCTTATGACCTTTATTATGTACCTTTCTTTATTATTTTACTAAAATTCTAATAGTAGAAACAAAATTATTCTTTATGATGCAGTGTTTTGAACGTTGTGCGAAACAGGTAAATAGTAAGAACAAGTTTTGTCGGATTTCTGTATTTTAGATTGACTTTGACGCTTTCCTGTCTAAACAAAATTTCTAAAAAGTTGGTCAAATGTCAATTTGACAGAACTTCCCTCGGCTAAATATGTATACAGTCCAAAGTCCAACAATTACAGGCAGGCTGATTCTCACATTTTCGTGAGGATGAAAATATTTTGATCATTTCTTCTCAGTAACCACACAAACGTATCCGAAAATTACGTTGAAATGGGTCGTTGTTTCTATGGTTGGATATACTTTCCAAAATATATCTAGGGTCTCTACTTAAACCTATAACTTATAAACAATTTAGTGACTACTGACCTGTGCTACTGACATAATAAACAAAATACTACCGCCAATGTCACTGTCAGATCACAACTGTTTTGCAAAAATTTATGAACTATGGCAAAGCTGCTAAGAAAATTTGCGCTGCTGATGTGGAAAAACTGGCTCGTGCTGAAGCGACATCCTTGGGTTCTAATCGGCGAGATCATTTACGTTCTGTCCGTACTAGTTTTAATATATCTTCTCCGAAGAGAGTATAGTGTTTCCGAGCAGGAGACCTACTATGGGTACCCGCAGGAATTGGACTGGCGCTCTTTCACAAGTTCTGGATGCGCTTCAGGCGATTCTAAACAAATCGCTTACTCTCCAACCAGCCCCTTATTGCACCGAATGATGGTGTCAAGTTGCACCAGGAAAAATTTAACGATTCTGGAATTTGACACGAAAGCAGAGTTGTCGGAAAAGATCAGTACAGACAATCAATTCGTAGCTGGTTTGAATGTTGCTTTAGAATTTAGCGACAATTTGCGCGGAATCAACGAGAGCAAGGATGTCCCTGATGATGTGGAAGTTACTATAAGGTACCTACTAAGAATGTAATTATGCAGTATTTTCTTCGATTGATTACTTTTCAGACTACCTCACAAGATAGACATTTCAGACAAGTGGTATTCGGATCGTCTGTACTCATATGTAAGTAATATGTGGGGGAGCTCAGGACAATATGGTAAATGGAAACAAATATTTCTAGAAAAGTGGTTTATTCACTGTAATTTTCAGCATACGAGCGGAAGTTTTTAAGATTACAAAGCTATATAATGTTCTTCTTGGCGCATGACGTTGATTATATTGAAAATTTTCCAACGGACAACACAATAGTTTCTGTTTCCTTTCCACGTCCAGCCATATTGTACGATGAATTTTTTGGTTGGTAATTTAAATACAGGTATAAAACAGTCCAAATGTAACAACTGATTCTAGGCGAAGAAAACCTATCCGAACCGACTTTTATTGCACTCATAATCTGTCTCTTCGTCTATAACCACCTCGTTACAATTAAAAAGGTCGCATCAGAAAAAGAGAAACAATTAAAAGTACGACGTCTCTCTGTTCGCGTCTCACACCCTCATCCCTACATCGTGTGTTACAGGAATCGATGAAAATAATGGGTCTCCCCGGATGGTTGCAGTGGCTGTGCTGGTTCCTCCAAGCTTTGTTATTCAACACCGTCTACATAGTCCTCCTGCTATGCATGTACACTTACATCGACCCTCCCATATTCGTTTACTCAAACGGTTGCATATTATTCTTGTTCTTCTTTCTCTACGCGTTCAGTTTAATCAGTCTTGCGTTTCTGATCAGCACTCTGTTCGCAAAAGGTGAATCGCTACAAAAACGTACAAACAGCAAACTAAAGAAATGTTACAGCCAACGCCAACGTCCTCATCGGATGCTTCATCTTGCTCATTGCTATCTTTGCATACTACTCCATGGTGAACAGACCAGAGGAAAAAGGCGCTTCGGCACCGATAGTACTACTGACGAGTCTGTTGCCTACTTCGGCACTAGGTTTCGGAATGCAGATCATTTTTATCTACGAAAGGATTCAAAAAGGTGATATGATAAACCATAAACGAATCCAACGTTTTCATTTGAGATCGTAGGAGTCAACTGGCACAACGTTGCTACTAAACCAATTCCGCTAGACGTATCGCTTCGGGACATAATGGTGATGTTGCTAGCAGATGCAATTCTGTACATGTGCCTGGCTCTGTACATAGAAATAGTCTTTCCTGGTGAATATGGCGTACCGCAGCCTTGGTACTTTCTGTGTTTGCGTTCCACCTGGACAAGCAAGCCTACCTATCTCAGTCAGTACATCCAGCAGCACCTTGCTGTAATAGAGACGGAGTTCTTAAAAACTACTTCTTTAAAGGAAGAAGACAGGTAGAGCAGTCCGCCACATCTAATCGGGAAAGCTTCGAACAAGTCGCCGGCAACAGACCGGTGGGGATACAGCTGGTGAATCTGACGAAAACGTTCGGAAGCCACCAAGCCATCAAAAACTTAAATTTGGAACTCTACCAAGGCCAACTCACTGTTCTGGTGGGTCACAACGGCGCTGGCAAAACTACGACCTTGAACGCGATCACGGGAATGTTACCTCCGAGCGGAGGAACGGTGTACGTTAATGGCTACGACGTAAGGAAAAACATCACGAAGGTTCGAGACGGGATGGGACTTTGCCTCGAACACAACGTTCTCTTCGACGAATTGACCGTTACCGAGCATCTGCGGTTTTTTTCTAAACTCAAAGGACTGGATGGCAAAGAGGCGGTAAGCGACGTTGACAAATACGTTAAGGCGCTGCAGCTGGAGGAAAAAGTAAGAGGTGAAACTGGTTTCGTGCTGGTACTAAAGGACGTTTATAGAGAAACAGTTATCCAAGGACATTGTCGGGAGGGATGAAGAGGAAAGTAAGTGTAGCTGCAGCGCTCTGTGGACGGACGAAAGTGGTGATTCTGGACGAACCCACCAAAGGCATGGACCCGTCATCGAGGAGGGAGGTTTGGAATTTATTACAAGAAATAAAAGGAGGTAATTACTAACGGAGAAACTTGTATTTGTTTCCAGAAAAAAGATGGCTTCATCACATTTTTTCTTTTAAATCACTCTTGACTTATAATCAAGTTTCGATTTACTGAACTTTGCTGATATTCTTGGTATTGAGTGTTGTTGTGATTATTCCACTTTCTTTATCTTTGTCATTTACATTCCTCCTAATTCTCCAGTAGATGATTAACATGTAATTTATTAATATTTCGGATTATGAATTTTACTTCTCTTTGTACGACTCTTGGTAACAATAGATTATCATCCCTCAATACATTTTCAAGTTTGTTAAATTTTGCATAGTATAATAATATTCCGAATATCAATGGTAGATATCTCGACCTTGTTATTTCCAACTCACCTTATTGTTCTATCACTCATTGTGAAGATGCTCTTTTATCAGAATATACTTATGCGCCTGCGATTTAAAAATGTTTAGACGAATAACGGGCCTCGATGACTGTTTACTTCTTCAAAATGACATTGATGCATTCTATCACTGGTGTGTAAGTCATAATCTCTCTGTTAACTTTGATAACTACATTTAGAACTCTTTTGTTTTGGAACGGGTTTTTGTATTTAATGATCTTGATATCTTGTTTGCTGCAGTAATTTTTAGCTCAGTTTCAACATTGTCGCTCTATAATTGGGTCTTAACCTTTTAGCAAACGTATCTAATAATAATAATATTAATAATAATAAACCTGAATCGCTTTGGTCATGTTTGAGTCCAGATCGCACAATTTTACTCACCACACATTACATGGACGAAGCCGACGTGCTGGGTGACAGGGTGGCCATCATGGCAACCGGCGAAGTCCGATGTTGCGGCTCGAGTTTCTTCCTCAAGCAAAAGTACGGCGCCGGCTACTACCTAGTGCTGGAAGTTTCGCCTCGTTGCCAGCCTGACCGAATCACTGCACTCGTAAAGAAACACATAGCGAACGCGCAACTTCATTCCTCTGCCACCTTGGAACTTTCCTATCACCTACCAGGCAACGAGTCCCAGAAGTTTGAGGCGATGCTGAGCGAACTTGAAAACAATCTGGGGAAACTGGAAATAATAAGTTTTGGCGTCTCGGTGGCGTCGTTGGAAGACGTTTTCATGAAGTAGGTAAATCGTTCGGTGTAATGACCGGTTGTCATTACGCGCTGTGTGTTTTCAGGGTGATCATCAACACAGAAAATAAGAAGACCTCAAGTAATGGTAAAACGCAAACAGAACTTAACGACAGAGCAAAAAGTAGGTATACAGTATGTCCCCGGATTGAGTTCACAAAATGAAAAAAAAACAGTATTTTCTATTTTGCAAAAAATTGACATAGGAATAACATTTTTTGCTTAATTCAAAACGAAGAAATCTGCAATTAAATTTTTAATATTATCAGGCCGTGTCCTTAAAATCGCAAAAAACTAAAAGTAACGAAGAACTTAGAAATTGAAGAAATTAATTTTAAGAGTATAGACCAGGGATATTGAAGTTTTAATTGCAGATTTATTCGTTTTGAATTAAGCAAAAAATGTTATTCCTATGTCATTTTTTTTTTGTAAAATAGAAAATACATTTTTTTTCCTCTTGTGAACTCAATCCGGGGACATACTGTATATTTGTACATTTATAAAAATCCAATTCTAATTGCTACGACTTTAGCTGAGTTGTTGAGCGGTTTTCCTCTCATCGCCAACCAAATAATCGCCATGTTTTTGAAGAGATCTTTGAGCACGCTGCGGTGGTGGCCCATAACTCTCATCCAGATTTTTTTACCAGGCATCGTTTTTTTGCTAATCATGCAGACCGGTGGCAGCACACGCAATCAAGAATCAGACTGGCCTCTGATTAATGTAACAAACCTGGATTTATATCCTAGTCCCATAACGCTTCTAGCCGGAGAGCGTTTTCTGCCCGTTTATCGTATATATAAAGGCGTACTGAACAGTCACCAAGTCATCGAAGTCGACAGGATCGAAAACGAAATACTCAGACAAGTAAGTATCAGTTGCAAATCGCTGTTACATTGAAACTCGGCTTCTTTTTTAGTCGGAACTCTCCAGGGATACCGTAAAAATGCACTACATCATAGGAGCATCATTTAACAGCACAACTTCTGTGGCTTGGTTCAACTCTGATGCCATTCATGCGCTACCTTTATCTCTCGGTCTGGTACTAAACGCGTTGTATCGCGAATTCCTTGGCTCTGACCGTAGCTCAATATCTTTCGTCAATCATCCTCTTCCTCGGACGATGATAAAAGACGACGACGATGATCTAGTTAGTGGCATCCATTTGCAAAAATTGTTTAAGGTAGCTTTTGCGTTGTTTTAGGGACGTATTGAAGAGCAGAAGGCAGTGGGAGTTATACTATGTTTGGGATATGCAGTAGCGTTTGTCGCATCCCTGTTCATCCTGTTCTACATAAATGAACGTTCTTCTGGTAGCAAAAATCTGCAGATGGTCTCCGGTGTTAACGTTTTCGTATTCTGGATCACGTCTTTCTTGTGCGATCTAATTGTCTTCTTCTTGATGTTGTGCGTCATCGTCGCCTTGATACTTATTCTTGAGTTTGACTACCTCAAAAGTTATTTAGGTAAGTATGTAGTCATTTAAGAATGTGTTCGCCGTTCGAATACAATTTTTAGGTTGTTTGATTGTTTTGTTTATCGCTTTCTTCTGCTTCGTTCTGATGTTGATTTATTTACTTTCCATTATGTTGAAGAAACCATCGTATGGATTAATATTGTTGTTCGTATTTGGCTTTATTACCGGTACTATTTTTTCTTATCTTAAAACTGATTTTTTAATAAGCATTTTAGGATCCGGAATAGTGTTGTTTTTGAACTTACGACACAGAGAAAACAGACAAACAGCACATTCTATGCTGGTCTTAACACCGTTCGGTTCTTTAACCTTAGGAATGTTTGCTTTATTCGAGCAGCATATGAATAAACAATTTTGTTCAAGGTCATATGGCGAAAATTCTTGCGAGAAAGACGAGACGTGTTGTTGTAAAAGAAATACATGTTAACTTTCATCTTTTGATAAATTATTATCCAATTTCAGATACTGACAACTGCTACGGAACCACAGTAGAGAATATAGGGACAAATATCATATGCTCTTTTATAATTTCGATTTTGTGTTTCATCCTTCTCATAATGCACGAGTACAGCCTCCTCGCCTACCCGATCAACAGAATCCGTGGAAAACGAAACCCTCCTGCAACTCCAGCTGACGTGAACGGCGACGTCCAAGAAGAAATCAACCGAATCAAGAACACTCCCGAAAACACCCTTTACAACACGCACAGCCTAGTCCTTCGCGACCTCACCAAGTACTACGGAAAATTTCCAAGCGTCAAAGGTCTCTGTCTGGCTGTGAAAAGCGGCGAATGCTTCGGTCTCATAGGCGAGAACGGTGCCGGCAAAACCACCACCTTCAAGATGATAACGGGCGAGACGTCCATCTCTTACGGTGACGCCGTCATCAACGGGCTAAGCGTTCGAAGGAGCAGGAAGACCGTGCAGAAGCAGATCGGCTACTGTCCGCAGTTCGACGCTCTCCCCGCCTATCTCACTCCAAGAGAAACCATAAGAATATTCGCGCTACTACGGGGTGTTACCTGGAAGAACTGCAAACCCTTAGTGGAGAACCTTGCTGAAGCATTCGACTTTTCGAAGTACGTGGACAACAAAATAAAGACGCTGAGCGGTGGGAATAAAAGAAAGGTCAGTGCAGCTCTTGCTGTGGTCGGAGATCCTCCTCTGGTCTACTTAGACGAGCTGTCGAGCGGAGTGGACCCGGTAGCGAAGAGACGGCTTCGATCGACTCTGCTCAAGCACAGGAATGAAGGAAAATGCATCATTATGACCACGCAGAGCATAGAGGAAACGGAAGCGTTGTGCACGAGAGTCGCTATTATGGTCAACGGAAGCTTTCAGTGCCTCGGCTCGATTCAGCGGCTGAAGAGTCAGTTTGCTATGGGTTGCAGTCTGAAGATCAAAGCGAAGAAGCCGGTCCATGAAGATACAATCACGGCTGTGGATAACTTTGTTAAGCAGAATTTTCCGAAGGCGGTGCTACTGGAGCGGTACCAGGAGATGTTGTCCTACGAAATTGAGGGCTCGATGGCGTGGTCTAAGATGTTTGGTGTCATGGAAAGGAACAAGAAAGCGCTCGGTATCGAAGAATATACGCTCGAACAGGCTTCTTTGGAACAGGTAAAACCGTATCCACCGACTTGCGCCAACGCAATTTATCGGTTTTTTGCAGGTGTTCTTGAATTTTGTCAAGCACCAAGAGTAGCACGTAACAATTTGGTTTTTACTTCCTATTAACTTGGAAAACAAAAACTATTTTCTAAAAGTGTGGAGTTGGTTTAATAAAAGATCTCAAGGATTGTTGTGGTTTTTCTTGCTTTAGCGGTTATTATATTTATTTTAAAAACTCCAAGACTATACTCCAAGATGATCGTGAACAGGGTCGCTTTACCGCATAGGCAGACTAGGCAGGTGTCTAGGGCCCGTTGCGGCAGGGGGGCCCGGCAACAGTTATTGCGAAAAAACTAAAAATTCAAGAAAATTTCCGAATTATTAAAGTGTGCAACGCTATTTCGGCTTGCACGTAATAACTAAGTTTTATTAAGATTTATAACGTGCGGACTATGGCCTAGATGTCATTGTAAAATAAATGCACGGGGTTCTCTTCCCACGCTCCGATCCTAACATTAATTTTTATTACACTTAAAGTGTTTGGCCATCCGATTGCGCCCCTAGAGCCTGCAAACGATATAGGTACCGTAAAACACGGCATTTGTTATTTCGCTTTTCTTGTCGAAAGTTGGATTGTGTATCTTCTAGTTTAGTGTGTTTTGTTTATTTTTTAATTCATTTTGGATTCAAAATGGCTTCAAAACCTATGTCAGGATCCCAAAAAAGAAAAAGAAAAGCCTTTCAAGAGGAAGAAAACAAGAAGCAGAGAAATTCGCTTGCAAGTTTTTTGAAAAAGGAAACTATGAAGCAAGAAAGTGAACAACAAGCAGTCGGTAGGTGTACCTACATACGAATTAATTATTATTAATTTAATTATCGCTTATTGTGTCATTTAGTGCTAAGTCCGTCATCATTTAAGTAACATATTTTTCTATTATTCTGCAGCTCAAACATCGGATAGCATCTCAGAAAGCATTACGTTAGATGTTCATCTTGCAGACAACAGTCTGGAACCTAGCACTACTAGCTTATCGTCATCTAACACAGAAGACCTAGTAGAAAAAAACGAGGCGGGACCAAACTCATCATCATATGTATGTAGAATATTCTCGAGATCCTGCATTATGGCCTGATGTGATTTCGGATCATTTTCGCAGTTATATTCTCTTAAACAGACCAAATCAGATGTACGGAGATATTTCTGCATCCGAAATACATGGCACTGGGCCCACAGGAACATGGAAAAGATCATTTAAAGAGTCATATTTTTATCGTGTGATGGCGAATGGTGAAACAGTAAAGCGAGAATGGTTAATTTATAGTGGAACTACAGGGTCAGTTTATTGCTATATTTGCAAATTATTCGCCAAAACAAAAACAGCCATTTCTCTCCATGGAATTAAAGCAGGGGCGGTTTGTCCTATGAGGCAGGTGAGGCAGTGCCTCACCAATGAATTTTACGCCTTATTAGGATTTTTACTATTTTTAACGACACATTTCGGCCAATAATTTGTGTCTTTTTTCTAAAATTTTAAAAATAAATATGGAAAATTATATTCTTATTTTTATCTCAGTAGGTACTCGTTGTTCTCTTAATTAAACAGCGCGCTGAAACACTCGACACAACATGTATTTTGTGACGCGAATGAGGCAAACTCGGAGCTTGCCTCTACAGCGGATATAGAAATCATATCGTTAATAGGCAAGCAACCTGCAATACACTCATAAGCGGTATGAGTTGAAAAAAGACAAAATTGAGGCTAGCCTCATTTCCGTGCTTGCAAAAGAGATGGACAACAATATTTGCGCGCGGAGAACGTGCGATTCCAATGCAGTCTGCATTTGCAGAAGTATTCAAAATTAGGCCGTTGATTGTTTTGCCACAAATCTGTGTGTGTATAAATTGATTCAAAATTTCGGTAACAGAATTTTGTCTTAAGAGTGCCTACGTTTGTGTGTGTCGCGTTAGTGCTTTGTGCTTGTCATAATTTGATTTCGGTAATCGTTATTTAAGATTACGAGTAAATCGGAATTTTTCTCTACTAACGTTAAATGACAATAGCAGTTCTGTTTTTTCTACTTTCACGTATGATGATAAATTGTATGTAGTTAAGGAATTAAAACGGCCGGTTCCTTATTTGAGTAAATCGTTAATTATTGATCTATAAAAAAGATTAAAATAAATCCAGAGTATTTATGTTCTATATGTTTTTCGTTTTGTTTTTTGTTATAAATCAAATAGGTTTATTTTATGTTGTATTTGATTTTTTTCGATACGTTTTCTTTAAAGTTTATTTTAATTTTGTTTTTTTTTTTTTAAGTTATATTAGTTTTTTCTGACCACGTTTCCCTTTCCTTTTGTCCTGTCATTCCCATCCTTTCCTTACAAGAGTTCCTTACACCTTCACGTTGGTTCTTGGTGGACAGTTAAATGAGTTTACAAATTTGTTTATTTGACTAAGTAGAAAATATTTAAGTAATCTTGATTTATTTATATTTTGGAGCGTATTGTGCTTTGCCTCATCAACTTTTCAAGTCATGAGCCGCCCCTGAATTAAAGACTGGAAAAATATAAACGCAAGATTATCGGAACATGAGAATTCTTCTGGCCACAAAAATGCTATGTGTTGCGCTTTGTTTCGTTCTAAAACAAAGGGCCGTATTGACGAAAAACTTGCCAGTCAAATGAATGCAGAAAGACAATATTGGAGAGATATTTTGAAACGAATTGTGGCAACGGTAAGATTTCTTGCAACTAACGGCTTGGCCTTTCGAGGTCATTCTTCAGATTGTGGAAATTATTACAATTGTTTGGAGTATCTCAGCGAATTTGATCCATTTTTGGCAAATCATTTGAAACAATATGGACATGCTGGAAAAGGTAATGCAAGTTACTTATCCCCATCGATTGCCGAAGAATTTATACAACTGATGGGAAAGCAAGTTAAATCATATATTTTGCAGGAGGTAAAAGAATCAAAATATTTTGCGCTAATTGTTGATTCTACTCCTGACTTTTCGCATGAGGATCAGCTTGCTCTCATTTTGCGCATTGTAAAAGTTGATGGTCAGACCATTGAAAGATTTATAGGTTTCATTTCATTAGATGATCACTCTAGTAAAAACCTCGAAGAAATTGTATTGGAAGCATTAAAAGAGATGGAGATCGATATTAAATATTGCCGGGGTCAAAGCTACGACAATGCATCAAACATGTCTGGTTGTTACAACGGTCTGCAAGCTAGGATTAAACAGCATGCGGAAGAAGCTTTGTATACTCCATGCGCGGGCCATTCTTTAAATTTGGTTTTGAATGAAACTGTTGATTGTTGTAGGGATTCGGCAAGTTATTTTGACCTGTTGCAAAAATTGTACAACTTTCTGTCTTCATCAACCAAAAGATGGAAAATGCTCCAAGATACTTTCGCTAAAAATAAAAAGCGATTAACTGTTAAGCGTCTGTCTGACACTCGATGGTCTGCTAGGGCAGATGCTGTTGCAGCTGTAAAAAATGGCTACAAAGAAATTATTGCTGTTCTTAGAAATATTGGTTCTGACACTGAGACGAAAGCGTTAACACGTGTTGAAGCTAATGCAATAGCATCTCAACTTGATAATTGGGAAACTGCCCTTCATACTGTCTCATGGAACATTTTGTTAGAAAGATTTAATGCAACGTCAAAATCTTTACAATCATCATCAATTTCTTTGAACACTACTGTAGACTTATACTCCAGTCCTTATGTAAGTTTCTTCAAAAATTCAGGAAATCTGGTTTTGAAGAAATTGAGAAGGAAGCACAAAAATTGACTGATTTCAGACATTTTGACAGCGAACTTAAAAGAATAAGAAAACAAAAAAAAATTTTTGATGAAATTGGTATTGACTATCATCAATTCAGTCAAGGGAAAAATAAATTTCCCGATCTCGGCCACATTCGGTTCTGTTCGGTTTTTAAGAATTGCTAAACAAATTTAAGTCGCCGATGAACTGCTACTTATATTAAGGACTTCTTAGGGCGTTGTAAGTATTTGTTAAATGTTGGTGCAACGCATTTCTGCGCTTAAGAGCTGCTTAAATTTTAAGTAACGTTGGTGCAAACGGGCATTTAGAAACATTTTACCCAATTTGTGACTGCCTAATTGCTGAACTCAAAAGACGGTCAAAAAGGTACCATGAACTCAATGATTATTTTGGTATTCTTTTCAACTACTCCAAGATGAAGACAAATGAAATATATAATGCTGCAGATGAGTTACGGCAGAGATATAAAAATGATCTAGACGAATCATTTGGGAACGAGCTAGTACATTTTATACAGTTCATTTCTGAACAGGAGAACCCAAAAGATCCAAGTAGTATGTACAAGATTATAAAAGAATGTTCTCTCGAATCAACTTTTCCAAATGTTTGTATTTTATTGCGGATATATTTGACACTTCCTTCGACCAACGCAAGCGGAGAAAGATCATTCTCGACTTTAAAGCGAATAAAAAATTATTTGCGCAGTACTATGGATCAAAACCGCTTAAATGCCTTAACAATATTATCCATTGAAAAAGAAGTAACAAAAAGCCTTAGTTTTGAGGACATAATAACAGAATTTGCCCATAAGAAAGCTAGACGACACCAGCTATAACCTAATTTATTGTTTAAGTTATTATTGTACTGCACAATATAATTCATGTAAAATATATATTTCATACAGTAATGTCCTAAAACAGATTTTTTTTTCATATACCTTATAAGGAGGGGGGCCCGGATTTGCTACTTTGCCTAGGATCAGTCTTACGCAAAAAACGCCGCTGATCGTGAAGAGTCTGGGAAGTCACCTTTATGCGATTCGCTAGACATACTTTAGGGTTTAGGTCAACTTATAGCCAAAAATGTCTGTGCACTATTTTATTAAAAAAAATAGCTTTACTTGTAACTAAAAAACTATGTAAACAAATCTAAGAAGTCGATTTGACCTGCTTCTGATTATCGTATCGAATTAAAACTTTGCAAGGATGTGTAATTTGGATGATATAATACAATAATAATTTGCTTCGATCGTGCACCCATTATGCCCATTATGCGTTGCAGCATGACCACAGAACTTAGCATGACCATCCGAGTCACGTGGTCTTCCCTTTCTAACGGGTTACAGCTGTGTGTTACAGGTTATAGGCTCTCGCTTCAGTTATTTACAAAATAACTGATATCATTATGTAACCGCAACTGTTATCAACAGTCAAACATTCCGATAATTTATTTTAGCTCTTACACTTGAATTCAAGTGGTGTCTTCGTAACCTCCACGACCAACAATAACGAAATGGCAAAATTCTGCGCAAATCTGTCCTTCATGTTCACCGAACAGCCGTTCCTGGACAGATACAAACTGGCGAAAGAAGCAGGCTTCAAGGCAGTGGAAACGGGATTCCCCTTTACCTTCACCGAAAAGCAAGTATCTGATGCCAAGGACTCTGCAGGAGTGCAACAAATTCTCATCAACACTTACACCGGCGACGTGACCAAGGGCGAACTGGGCTTCGCAGCCGTGCCAGGAAAAGAACAAGACTTCAGAGATAGCATCAACAAGACCATCAACTATGCAAAAGTCCTTGGAGCTTCAAAAATCCACATCATGGCAGGCAAAGTACTGGAAGTTAAGGATGCCCATCATTTGACGTACGAAGAAAACCTCAAGTATGCGGCTAAATTGTTGGAGAAGGAGGGTTTGTTGGGGGTCATTGAACCGATTAATAACTACGCGGTGCCAAACTATTACCTGAACTGTTACGATAAAGGTACGTCTGCCTTTGTTTATGGAGAGGGTAACAATGTATCATATTTTAGCACTGTCGGTGGTGAAGAAGTTGAATAGTCCGAATTTACGAATCATGCTGGACGTTTTCCATTTGCAACACATCAGAGGGAATATTACCAACAGTATCAAGGACCTGAGCGGGTACATAGGGCACGTACAGATAGCACAAGTGCCTAATCGAAATGAGCCAGACACTCCGGGTGAAGTGAACTATGTATATGTATTAGAAACGTTGAAGGCTTTGGGGTACAACGATTGGATTGGGTTGGAGTATAAGCCCTTGGAGAATACGGAGAAAGGACTAAAATGGCTGAAGTCGTTCGGCTACACGTTATAAATCTTTTTTTTACGTTTTATCAAAATAAATCTAACCAAAACGTGTATAGTTGGTTGCAGCGTTTGTCACAATTATCGTCATGTGATTCCTATACGCTTTCCTATTGGTGGTCGAGCTAAAATACACTTTCTCAAGTTGGCGGACCCGCAGAGCTGTCATAATTTTGTGGTTAACTTTTATTAGGTAACCAAAATCCGATGGCTTCGCTCTTGAGGCAACTGGCAAGGACTGTACGTCCGTCTCTAGTGCGTAATGGAGGTATGGCTCTCCCAATTTTCGCCCCATTGCTCACTTGTTAGTTTTCAGTATGCAGCACGTCGGTACTATATAAGCACACAGAGTCCACCGAAGCCCCTGGAGAAACTCGACGTTTGTATTCATATCACTATAACTGCGCTATCTTACAACCCCGTTTCAGCGACCGTACGAAAGCCTGATCTTCTGGCTCGCAGTCAGCTGAAAGACTTCGGTAAATACGTTGCCGAATGTCTGCCTAAATACATTCAAAAAGTGCAAATAACAGCTGGAGATGAGCTGGAGTTGTTGATAGTGCCTGAAGGAGTTCTGCCAGTTTTGCAGTTTTTGAAGGATCACCACAATGCCCAGTTTGCTAATATCACAGACATTACCGCATTGGATGTTCCAAGCAGGGAGTATAGATTCGAAGTAAGTCGCGGTTCGTGGGAAGCAAATTCTAGCCTCAGTTTTTTAGTTGGTATATAACCTCCTGTCGCTTCGTTTCAATTCGCGAATTAGGGTCAAAACGTACACGGACGAGTTAACTCCAATCGACTCTGCATGTGATATATACAAAGGCGCCAACTGGTATGAGCGCGAGGTCTGGGACATGTATGGGGTGTTCTTCGCTAATCATCCAGATTTAAGGCGTATTCTTACGGATTATGGGTTCGAGGGACACCCTCAGAGGAAGGACTTCCCATTGAGCGGTTATGTTGAGGTAATTTATACACATGTAAAAGTTACAAAAATTAATTTTGAAATAAATTTCGGTACTGACGGCTTTATAAAAAGAACGAAATTGTCCGCTTCTAAAATTACTTGAATATTCCTGTACAGGTTAGATACGACGATGAGAAGAAACGCGTGGTCGTCGAGCCCCTCGAACTGGCGCAAGAATTCCGCAGGTTCGAGTTGTCGGCTCCCTGGGAGCAGTTCCCCAATTTCAGGAACGCGCCGCCGGCTGCCGAAGAAATTAAAGTCGAGGAGAAGAAGTAAGGTGTTAGGTAAATAGTTCTGTTAAATAAATGACAAATTCAAGTATTTCTTTATTTTTCCTAACAGTTTTTTTTTCTCGTTTGTTTAAACAATTTGTACTGCAGTAACGTAACAGTGTGTCAGATGGAGAGTTACAGCTGTTGTAAATAAATTATTGTTGATGACTAATAAGGCGGTGTGAAAGGGATACGGTCGAACGTCTGTGCGTTGGAAGTGACGACACGGCGAAATGTCATTCGACGTCACGAAACTACAAACTTTGACCGCGCGACTGGTTAAACCCTTCCAGCGTTTGTTTAAACCGAGAGAACATTAAAAGATATTTCACGATGAATTAAATACATACATTAATACCCAAATGTTGCCCGATTACTCGTGACCGAGTCTTGCTTCGACAGAAAAAAAAAGATCGGTACTTTCGTCGGACAATAAGTGCTAGAACAGTAGTCATAGTTTGAATCTGATTCTTTTGAAGCGACGAAAAAGATTCGCTATGTACGAATAAATACGTTAAAATAAATAATAATACAAAAAATATAGAATGATCCATTTTCCAAATTATCGTCTAACTTATCTACAACTTAAATGGTAATCTTCTAGGTTTGATGATGGAAATGAAAATCATTGTTGCACAGTTTTTATGACTGAAAGGGCGCGAACGACAACCCAGTTACAAAAGAATCTTAGTCTACACGAAATTAGTCATTATCGATAATACTAACAATATTTCACAAGTACAGGTACCATCTATCACACTTTTCTAACATCAATGGTAACTTCGTTAACATTCATATATACAAGAAGTTCGCCCATTCCATGAAAACCCAACAAATTTACCAAACTGGGTCTCCACGTGATGGTTCTCAAGTTTTTTTTTCTTTTTTAGGAAAATACCTCCAAAATATAAACATACAAAAAACAAATTACACAATTTACAACTGTACAAGTTGAAAATATACTTAACATTTAAGAAAATAACTATTTTAGTCCATTCAAAAATATATTTTGTATGTGCATCATAAAAAATAGTGTCTTATGTTATACTCTTCGATTCTAACACCATTTAAAGCTTTTTAGTAGAAGTGAGCCCATTCTTACACGATCGGACTAGTGTTCGAGGTAATCAAACAGTTAGAGCGACTCAATTTCCTGCTACAACAAACAGTGAGTAAAGTATCACAATTCCGATCGTCTTTTTCAAAGCACGACCAACCAAGATTTCCAACAAAATACACACGGGGGAAAAAATTTGCAGGCCGAGCACGCCCGAGTTACCCCTGCGGACGGCACGGCGATGTCGTTGCCGCGCCCCCAAAATTCAAACTCCCGTTTATTGACTCTGAATAAAACCTTAAACACTTACAATAACAATATTCAATAACAATGTATAGCGTTTGAGCTAAATATCATACAATCCCAACAATAGTTACAATAGAATCGTCTTCTTATAGAAAATCGGATAAACAACGAAGACCCTGATATTTACTTTGTCTTTTTCGTGATTCCCATAATTCTGCCATCGACAGTTACTTAATTACAAAGCACGTGGATTTCTGCCTTCAATACCCTTAGGCCGTCGACTGCGCAAGCACAGTCGCGTCATTATTGCAACAACCGCAACGATCCGACAATTCACATCGAGGTCGTTTTCGGAAATACCCTCATTACGGACGTGGTCAAGGCGATGGGGTCCGTCTGGCCGGCGCTCACGTGCCGTTCGTGGTACTCTTGGAAGCAGGGAACTATGCACAGGTTAGTCTGGCACTCTGGACAGTGGTACTTGGTCTTGCGGCGCAATATCCGGCCGTGGTTGTCCACGGTGTTCCAGCAGTAGTTGCAACCTAGGGCCGGCCCAGTGCGCACCACGGGGCAATGGCTGGACCTCGTTCCCGTCTGCAAACAAACACGCCCATCGTACTGCTACAGAAGTGTTATCCATCCGGCCGATTTAATGTGTTTTCGACGTTTCTAAACCCTACAATATGAAAAAGTAGGTCCTTTCCCCCTGTCTGTCGTCTGTTGGCGATCTCATTAGACAGACGGATGATCCTCGGAAGTACTGGACGGATATTGTGAAATTTTAGAAGTATTTTAGGAATACCGCAGATGGTAAAACGCTAACCAAAGTTTGTCTGATCATCCCCACCATGATGCCATCTCGAAATTTTGCAAAGTAAATCCTACTTAAATTTTATAAAATAACATATTTCAATATCTGTGATTAGTGAATTCACCTTTATTTTTTTTTAATCAAGAATTTTCAAAATATGTACAAATTAATGTAAAAAAGGTGAATATTCTCTTTTCCGATGTACAAATGTGGGACTGGAATTTTGCACAATTTTTTTTTTAGTCAAATCGCACCACAGGCATGAAAAATTAAACTTGTTATACAGGGTGATTAAATTTGTAAACTCTTTTGCACGATTAAGATGGCCGCGAAGTGAAAGAAGTGGTAATATTTATCCGCACTCAAATTTAGGTTTAGCCTGATTTTTCACATTAAAAGATTTAAGGCTTGCGTCTGGTTCGGTTTAGCCCTATACTAAATACATTGAAAACATCGTCGCGGTTTCCGGAGTTGCATTTTAAAAATATGAGATATATCGCTTTAAATAAATTATATTTCGAAATAACAAACTTCAGTCCAGGGGACCTCCATATTTATTATCATATCTAGTATGCAGTTTTTACAAAAAAAAATTATAAAGTTGAACAACTTTTACATCACATTTTAACCGGCACATTGATGCATTTTTTGACGAAGTGCTGAACTTTTTTGCATTCTGAGATAGGAGGTCCCCTGGGGAAAAGTGTCAGCTTTCTTTTGATACCATTTATAATATTAAAAAATCCACGACTGAGGTAACTAACTCGCGAAAAGTCAAAATTTATTGAAACGAGAAATCGGCATTAAACGAGCTGTGATGCGGTAGCAGAATACAGGTTTACTTAGATTCTGACTTGGTTGGAGATTTCAGTATTTTAAAAATGGAATTCCGGAAACTACGACGATGTTTTCAATGTATTTAGTATTGGGCGAAACCGAACCAGACGCCACCCTTAAATCGAATAGGTGAGAAGTCGAAAAATCCATAAGTTGGAAAATACAAAAATCGAAAAAACGGGAAACTGAACAATCGAATAATTGAAAAAAAATAAAAACCCAATAAATGCAAAATCGAAAAACCAAAAATTTTAAAAATTAAAAAATTGAAAAATATAAAAAAAAAATGACAATACAAGCTTAAAATATGAAAAATCAAAATATTGAAAAATCCCAAAACTGAAATATCGAAAGACTGAAAAACCGAGAAATCTATCCAAACAACTTTCGACGAATTTCTTAATTTTAATCCAGCGAAACGAATTTATGCGTCGTTTACAAAGTTTGGTCGATAGGGTGAGCATCATGACGTCGCTGCCGAATCTGGCAAGTCTGCGATTAAAATCGCTCACTATGAGAAAAAAGAAAGACGAACGCGAGGAAAATCCGGTGGAAAGTCTGCTGAAACCCATCGAAAGCCTAGACGCAGACTACGACAGCGACGTCAGCGAAATATCGGACGTCTTCGAGGAGTTTCACAGAAACAGTTACTTAAGACCGCAGAATAAACACTACCTAAGCAAACGCGAAGCTGACCTCCAGACTATGGACGATTTCACTGACGACTTCAAAAAAACCATGGCGGAACTGAGAAGCGGCCTAAACGTAAGTCGTCCCAATGTTTAGTACTTTTTCAAAATTGGAAAAAATGTCAGATCGGCGACGACTTGCTCCTGGAGAACACCGCCGAAGTCGCGAAGATTTTCGACGAGGGAAAAGATCCCGCGGTTTTTTCCAAGATTGAGACGAAAGAAGAAATCAGCGAAATGCTGCAGGATGGAACGGACACCATACCACGACTTCAAGAATTGCAGCGAATGAGGAAAGCGAGCGATACGAGTTCCGGGTCGATCATCTGGCAGATGTTGGCGGCCAACAGCGACAACAAGAAGTTCGAAATCAGCCCACCCGGTTTCAACACTTTTAAGCAGAAGCAACCCCACTGGCTGCAGAGGGCGTCCGTATCGTGGGTGGAAATAGATCAAGCGACGTTAAAGTGCGAGAAGTGGCTCGAACAATGCCCAAGATTCACCAGGAAGAAGTGAATTAGCTGATTTTCTTACCTGGGGCGAAGACGCACTCCGCTTCAACTCGTCGCTCCTCACCCTCAGCGAGCTCGTCGGTGCGGTGGCGGCGCTGTCCGCCCTCAAAGGAACTTCATGGGGAGAAACTGTCAACGGATCCGATACGACCACCACCGGACTAATCGCCCTCTGGGCGGTTTCGGCAGCACTGTGCGGTAGTATCTGGATATGAAGAGGTGGCGAAATCTACAATATCGATGAAACAGTTAAAAATGCCCTTGAGGCTTCTGCGTGAAGTACCGATTTGCTCTGCATCTGGCTCGGCAGTAGAGGATGAGAATGTTGCTTCAGCAGCACGGGTCCGGGTACCGTCAGCAGGTTTCCCGGGGGCGGCGAATGCGAAGGCAGGGGTTCCGAACACTGGCGCTCTACACGAACTGGAGGAACTGAGAGGTACTGCGGTGAGAGCGGCTCGCTGTCCGAGGGTTGCGTTGGGTCGCTTTCGCGTTTTATTCGAGGCTGCCGCATCAGGAATCTGCCGCGCTTTGTGCCCATTACGACTTGTTGGCTGCGTTGTGCTTGGCTTGGCGAAGACTTGTCTGAAAGCATCGGTGAAAAGAGAAATTAAATCGGACACAATGGAAACGGGGACTGTCCGTACAATTCTCACTTACATAATTTTTGAGCGTTTCGGAGGGAAAAATAAAAGACGGGACCTTATAAAAGCTATCCTTTATTTTTGTTTAATATACAATATTAGAAAAGTAAGAATATGACACAATGTTTAATACAAACACAAGTTGTTGCGTTAAATTATACGTAAGTAATAAGCGAACGAGTTAACAATAAGAACGTAAAATAGAATATAGGTAACAAATCACAACAAAGTACAAAACAATTGGGTATGATACAAATGAGGTATGCCTATCTAACAGACGCCTGTTTTAACGAATAGTGCTTGGGTTACTGGTTATTATTAGAACGGTTAACAGATCGTTAAAAAAGGCAGTTGAAATATAAAAAGCACATACATGGTATCAAAAAAATTTAAACGTGTAAATATTTGATTCGAGTCGACTTAAGATACGTTTGTAAAATCCTTTGAAGTTATAGCTTTCAGGTTTGACATTTTTTTCTCTTGCATGTTACACGGTTCGACCGAAAGTAGTTCGTAATACATAGTTTTTTTTACTTCTAAAAAAGTTTCCTGTTTATTTATATTCGATAATTCACCGTCAAATTTTGGGTGTCGGTAAAGTGTTTTAAAGTGAAAAATATGTAATTGTAAGTGCACGTATTTTGAAGAATTTCTAGAACGTAACATTAATTTATTTATTCTAGAATTTTGTTCTATAATTTGTGTTCTTTTTGATTTATATTGAATACGTAAAATATTTTGGTTCAAGAATCTGCCAGTTTTTCCACCACAAGTTCTGAAGGCATGGACACTGAGGACCTTATTTCCGAACATGAGCCAGAAAACGGAAGTTAAAATGAGAATGACATTTCACAATGGGAAAGTTCCGAGACAAAATCTAAATTTAGTCGTCACTGACGCTGTCGAGATTTCATTTAAAGCAACAAATTTTTTCGATACTGTTAAAGAACTTTGTGTGTGTGTGTTTTTTTTTTAATCAGTAAAAGACGGGCAATTACGACCAAACATTTTTCATAACTTAATTTAAAACCCTTGAGGTTACATATATATGTAAAATCTATGACATCTTAATTGAATCGACTGAAGTTGATTCGTTGGATCTAAAGGCTTCCCATAAAGCTCATTCCTTACCAGCAAAAATTCAAAATGATAAGTTTTTGTGTTTTGTGGTGATCTGGCATATTTTGTTTAAATTAATGTTGTCAGTAAAATGATGCAAAGCCCAACACTCAGCGTTACTTTTTTTAATTACATTCGTTTTGATAAAGATTTCAACGATGTTCTCACCGATGCCAATGAACTTGTGCACGAATTGGAAATTGAACCAAATTTTCCACAATTCATTTAGTACGAACAAGAAAGAAAAAGAACAGTTTGAATATGAGCACGAAGGTGAATTTCTATTTTATAATTTTGGACCAGACAGTATCATCTCTTAAAGACAGGTCTTCAAAATTATGACTTGTTTGGGTTTTTGTTTAAATTTTAGAAAATGGCAGATCGAAACTTTGTTTTAAATTATAGAACAGCAACTAAAAAAATCCGCATTCTATTTTAGAATATATTGTAGAGAACAAACTTAATCTTTTTACTACAATCAGAATTTTACTAACTCCTTCGGTTTCAGTCGCCTCTGGCGAAAGAACATTTTAAAAATTGAAACTTTAAAATCATACACGCAGTAATTATAGTTTTATCAATTTTCTTAAAAAGAGGGGCGTAAAAATAATTTATGCACACGGGCGACCACAACTCTAGGCGTGGCCCTGTCGCACTAAGTCCTCTTTTAATTACTCCTGTTGAAATGATTCTATGAGAAGCGTCCAAAAACCAAAACTTTCAAACAACTCTACAAACGCGTAAACTACGAAACATTCGGGGTATTAATAAACTAAAATCACTTTCCACACAAAAAAGAAAAAAATCGAGATTGTTACACTGTCCGCAATACGGAATTTGTTTAAACGGGAACCCCTCGTGCTAAAAATTGGCTCGCTTTAATAAATACGAGATTTCCCCGAAAACCCTGCACTCGACGTTTCATTAGAGAAATCAACAAAACAATTCGAAACATCAGTCTCCTAGTCAAGTCCATCCGCGCCACCTAATACTGACCACCCTAGCAAAAAAATAAAAAACAAACAAACAAAAAGAATTCCAGTACGTAAAGCTTGTCATTTGGTGTATAAACGTGAAAAACCCCGCAGGGCGCCCCCTCCCCCGTCTACATTTGTTCGAAATTGATCCCCTGGAAATTCACCCCTTGCTGGTTCACGATCGCCGGGTCGAGGTACTTGGGCCGCTGCAGCACCGCGCCCAGGTCCACGTGCTTGCCGTCGAAGAAGGCGCCGCTGATCAGCGCCACCGGCTGTCCCTGTTCCTCCGGCTTTTCCTGTGGCGGAGGTACCGGCTCCGCCTGCGGGCTCGGCGGCGGCTGGCCTTCCGCCGCCGCCGTCGCCGCCGCCTGCTGCTCCAGCTTCCTGTTCTTGATGCTCAGCCGGAAGTTGGGGTAGCCGCGCTTCTTGTACTCGAGCCAGAGCGTGCGGTTGTTGACGCCGAACATGCGCGCCGCCTTGCAGAAGCCGATGCCGCCGAAGCGCACCGCCTCCAGCGCGCGGATGAAGTTCTCGTCGCCCTGCGGGTTGATGCTGCGCTTGCGCTTCTGGATGATCTGCGGCGGCGAGTTGGCGATCTGGTTCTGGTAGCACTGGGCGCTGGGGGAGGGCGGGTTGAGCTGGGCGACGGTGGGACACTGGGCGTAAGTCTGGCTGGGGGGAAGGGCGGTGGGGGAGGTACACGAGGTGAACTGGGCGTAGGCGGTGTGGTCCATCACGTTCCATTGCATGCCTGCAAGGGAGAGGTGAGTGAGTGCGAGGTACTCGACAAGGCTAAGCTCAACGGCAAATGTGAACATGAACGATTCTTTTTGGTGGCGCGTTTTGTTGTTGTGATTTGAGGGATGTCGTGATGATCGGGGGCCGTTTCGAAGAGCGGCCGACCATTGAGCTCAGCCTCTGTCAGCGTGGGACAGAGGGATGTGGGGGAGGATGAGGCGGAACGGACTTTTTTGTTGCTCGTTCACGTTGCTGTTGATTCTTAGCCTTGGAAATGCTTACACTAGCTTGTATAAATGTAATAAATGCGGTCAGGGCGGAATCCAAGCATTCAGGCTTAGTGGCGGGCACGTTCACTTCAAAATTCTCACTTTGACATGCGCACTTCCGAGATGGAAAAGTCCACGGCGACCCCATACGGATTTCCCCCTTGATCGAGTTTTTTTTCGCCAATTTATGAAGCAAGAAAAACGGGAGAGATGACGTATCAGACAGGTTTTTTTTTACATTTTTCTCGACTCAAAGGTGCCCCCCAGCATTTTTTCCCAACGTTTGGTCCCCAGTAACCATTGCAAGTTCAACAATTTCTCTATTATAATTACGTCAACACTAAACCATCTTATTTATTCCGGGAAATCCGTTTTACCAACTAATCAAGTAGATCAGTCATTAGACTTACTTTGTTAAAATGACGACAACAAATACATAACCAAGTGTGGCTAACTCACCCGTTAATGTCAACTGCGACGTGGTGGAAGGCCCTGCGACTTCCCCTGAACACGTCGCTTCGAGACCATGCTGCTGGACATTAACCTCCTGAGGAACTTGCTGTAAAAAGATAAAAAAAAAAGTTGAGACTCGAAGCAAAACAGTACAACTAAGCTCACCAAAGTGACTTGATGTGTCATCTCCCCCTCGATACTCTCATGCGAACTACCCCTATGCAACTCTGAATCGCTACTATGCTGTTTACTCTTCTGCAAAATACTACTACTATCAGAAGCGTAACCCCCAGGATCCGACTTTATAACTGTTCCTAGACCGCTGCCAGTTGACGACGTTAAGGTTACTTCGCTGGACTGGTGTTCGTCTGAAGTGCGTTCAGTCGACCCAGAACCCGACCCTGTAGAAGATTTGCGTAACCTTTTCCTAAAAAAAAAAAAGATAATTGTCTGACGTTCGATCGAAATACTAAGCAATACCTTTTGCTGCTAGGTGATAACGGACAAGGAGAAGGCGACAGCGACTGTCGTGGTGCCCCTTCGGAGCTCCAGTTGGACTCCCCCGGCGTCAGGAGCTCAGCTTTGTCCGTTGAGCTGTTTTCTTTTTTTGAAACGGATTGATCGACCGGGATTTCCGCCAACCCTGCAAAACGCCACATTTCGTGTCTGCGAGCGCGAACCGCGTCTTCGTTACCTTTGATTTTTAGCATCTCTGCTGTTTTTAGAATATACGGCAGTTGCTCCTGGGAGACGTTCACCTCCCCGTAGTACATGAAGTCCACCATGACTTTCAAATCCGTGAATTTGACATCTTTTAATATCACAATGGGGTGTTGGCAAGGGTTGATCGTGAACAGAGACTGAAAATGAAAGAGGCGTTCACTTCGAGTCGGGTCGACGCGGTGGGCTCACCTGAAAGTACGAGCTGCAGGCCGACAGAACCACCTTGTGCGCCTGCAGGTGCCTGCCCTCGGCGGCCAGAGTAACGTCGACCAGTGACTCACTGTTGAGAAGACTAGAGAAGACTGAAATGAAGTTAGGCTGATGGTTGTTCCATCGTAAACAATACTGTTGCATTGTCATTGTAACGGGTTGACACCTGGAAGAGAAGTAGCGTGGGGGTCAGAACGCCTGCTTTTGTTTATATTTTTCATTTTCGAGTACGTACAATCGATAAATTGACCTGTGAATTGTAACCTTGAGAGGCGACCAATGCGAGATGACATCAACGTATTAGAAAGATGACTGGAACAGGTTAAATCAAGAAAGTTAAAATTAAATTGAGGGGGGGCTAGGGGCTTACTGTTTGGACTGTTCAACATTATACGGAAAATAAACGCACGAATTTTTTAAATAAACACTACACTTAAAAAACATAATCCACCATATTTAGATTTTCCACAGTGACGTAATTCGAGCAATTACGTCGGTCAGGTAGAAATCTAGAGGTAGTTACCGACATTACAGATGTCGGTGGGTTTTGTACATTTTAATGCGTGAAATGCGGTGTAACTGCGTTAAAATTAAAGTTGTAAAATGAGTTGATTTTTCATCTTACATTTTGTAATTCGCTGGTGGTTGAGAAACAGGAACCGTCTTTGTGTTTCTTGAACTATATGAATTTGTACGAAGGGGGCGCCACCTACATCAATATCACCATAGATAAATAATACTACGTAAATAGAATGCAAACTCCCACTTGATTTTTGGTCCCAATAAACGCCCCCTGGTGCCTTGTGGCCGGTGCTAAAGCATGAACTACTAGATGCCTCATTGCTGCATATTTTATAATTAATATTTTATTTTTATTATCACTAATAATATCAAAAACACAGAGTAGAATAATATACAATTTATTAGTATTGTCTACGATTTTTTGACTTTAATTTTTTTTGGTACATTATACAAGCATTTTGATATAATGCATTTTTATGTGTGGAAACTCTTGTATCGCGACCGCTTAAAATTAAATTCAAACCTTTTACAAACGTAAAAATTGTTAAATATATAATTTTATTACATATTTCACTTTCAATTAATTCCTTATGTTCACAATGAAACGAAAATTTGACATGATGAGATACTATAAACGAAATTTTGTTTTTGATGTTGTCGAAAGATGTACAATTGTTTAAAATGATTCTTGAAATATTATAAATTCTGTTAATGTTTTTTATAAAATCTAACTTACAATATTGCAATTTTCTGTTATTACAATTGTATTCTCTTATACGTATTAATTTGTAACATTATTCGTCTTCCGAAAAATTGTTTAAAATTTGGGTTTTACAATATTCACACTTCAAATTTCTTAATGTTTTCGCAACCCAGCCAGACACATAACCAACAATACTTTTATGAAGATCTTTTTCTAAATTATATGGAGACAGTTTTGAAATGTACATATTCACGTTTAAAATTTCGTAACTCGTTTCATTTACTGAATGTTGATTTATGTTGTTATCCACAAGTCCTTTAATATGAAATAAATCCGGTATGTTCGTTTTCTTACAGTTTGCGCCCACTGAATTTGAACTATAAAAATTGCGTAATAATAGAGATTTGAAACTTTCCTTAAATTGGGCTGCCGTTAGATTAGTTGCTCGATTTCTTTGACTTCTGATTTTGCCAAAATAGTTTTCAATAACATCTTGATTTAAACATCTAGGTAAAAAATATTTGCACCTGCCCTGTTCTACTAAAATTGTATGTAAATCCACAAAACCTTCTAACGTTGCAATCCAGTTTTTTATACACGGAGGTACTACCATTTTTCCGGCCTCATCGACGAAATACATATCACCCAAAATTTTGATAACTTCCTTCCAAAAATGTTTATGACCAGAAGATTTAAATACGCCCCCAGAAAATGGTTTTCCGCACCGTGATTGAAAAGTACTGCCATTTACACTGTCGAAGAGCTTGTCAAAAAATTTTATAATTCGTGCTGTTCCCATTGCCTCGTGTGTTAAACTGCATTCGGCTGTAAAATTAAATTGTAAATGAATCTGTTAATTATTTTTAAATTTGTATTTACTAGATTTAACCAATAGCGTAATAGTCGATGCCATTGAGTGACTCAAAACTTGTGTCGCATAGCACACCTTCATCTTTTGAATTTTTTCCGGAATTACGTGGAGATCCGTAATTTTGTGTAGAGCCCGTAATTCTCCACATGTTTGATCACTGTAGTACGCATCGATTATATGTTTCCAATTTGCAACTAAAATTTCCTCGCTTGTTTTCCACACTAAATTTTTAGTAAGCAGATTGTTCCTAATACATTTAATTAAATGAGGCGTGTCATATAATGGAATAATTTCTTGATCCCTTAATAAAATTCTTCTTTTAGGTTCCATCCCTTTATGTACATATAACGTTGTTTCGACTCCTTTAGCAGAGAATTTATAGCTGCTTGGTTTGGTTGGCCTTGATCACAAATTGTAACCAGAATTTTGAATCCACAATTTTGTATTTTTTCAACCAGAGTTTTTATAATAGTTGTCAATATGTAAGATTTTGTAGACGAAAAAGAAAATGCAAAGTATATTGGCTGTTGCCATTTTTTAAACACTCCGCGAATGAAAAAAACAAGAACATGATCTGCTATCTGTAAATTTTGTTCAAATCCAAAATGTTTAAATCCGAAAAATGTATCCGTATATTTGTCATAGTCTATGTGGGGCATTATGGACATTTCATCAAAAATTAATGCACATATTCTATCTTGGTTATTTAATTTTGAAGCAGATTCTTTAAGATTGTCGAAAATTATTTTGTTTATACCAACGTCTACTGAAATTTTGTTCAACATAGACATAATTGTTTGACGTGAAGGCAGTGCAAAAATCTGTCTCATTTTTCTATAACATCTCCCAGACTGTTTATAAAACATTAATGCAAATAATTTATCTTCAGTGGTAAACCTGCGACCATTTGGTTTGACATTTCGTCTTTTTAATTGTGATAAACAAAAATTTATAGCATCCTGACTTAAAATTTTGCTTTCTAATTTTACTTCAAATTTGGAGTATAATTTCAATCGTTGGCGATACGAAGCTACCTTAATTTTGTTTCTACGGGCTGTACGCGAAATATTCCTAGAATTTGAATGTAAATTTAGTATTCGAGAAGATTCTTGGTTTAAAGTTTCGTTTAGGGTTTCTCTGGAATTTCGAGATACTTCAGTACGAAATTTTTGAGAATCCAGTATAGAAATAGGGTTTACGGGATCATGAGTGTGTCTTTCGGAGTCGTTCATATTATCTGAAATTATTGTAAAGATTATCTATGGCATTCACTTGCACACAAATATTTACCATGCATAATTTGAATTGTAGGAATAGCAGTATTTTTAAGTTTTTGATTGGGGCCAAAATCCGTTTCTTTAAAATGTACATCGCAAAGAAAATATCCATTTTTATATATTTTCATGGGATCTAATTTGCCTAAATTTGGATTCCCTGTCCGTTCCAACCAAATTTTAAAACGCTCGTTGTATTTGTAGGGGTTGGGAAAACGATGGCGTTTAATAATTTTAGTGTTTAGACATTTCAAAACACTGCACAGTTTCATATTTTACGCTTTGTTATCACGTATAATCACACAAATGACACTTTTATACTAATCATAAATGACATTAGTTTTTTTATTGTTTCTTAAAACTGGCTGTGGAAGTTGTCGCCAAGTAATTTTTGGAAAAAAATACTTCACTGCTATCAGTGCTATCTCTTATTATGTGGCCGGTACATAAGCCTAGACACAAACCTGGGACACGCATTACAGCCGACTTTGCATTCTATTTTACGTAGTATTATTTATCTATGAATATCACCATTTTCTCCAAACTTTCCGGGAATTGCAATTTTGCAGAAAATGCAAGTTCGTGAGTGAAAAGTTTAAAATAGTGGGTAAAGAAGACACACCGAATGTGAAGAACAACTGAAGAGAAACAACAAGTAGGCGTAGTTTGTAAGGAGCAGCAGGGCCAAGTAAACAATAGAAGATTTTTTTTTAATTCAGAAATTGTTGCTTTCTAAGCCAGCATTTCAGTACTATACGTTCAGCGATCGCTCAGATGTTAACTTTCTTCCGTGTAGCGTTTTAAAAAAATTGCAGGAATAGCGTTACCCTAAGCCGCATGATGGATTCCGTCAGAGCAAGCCCTTATCAATTTCGAAATTCCTCTAACAGGGACATTCTGCAAAATGTTTTCCCCATTAACCTAAAAGGAAATAAACAAAAAGGAAAATAGAGGCAATCTATCAAATTCTTCTTTTGTCTGCGGCGTACGTGTGTATTAGGTAGGTGGTGTGGAAGCCGTGCGTCCGAAATGAAATTTCGCTTGTTCCTTCGTGCTTTCTTCGAAATTCTGACAGCCAAAGGAGATTGATCACTTACTAATCACGTTTTCGCTTTATTCTGTCCTACACGCTGACAAATAATGCAGCAATTTAGGTCGAAGCGCGCAAGATGGAACGTCGTTTTCCACAAATTTCCCTCTAATAAGAAAATTATTAATTGCCGTGATACCACTCGTAACAAGGGTTTATTCATATTATTACCCACATAAACTTTATAAATGTGGGTACCGTTAAATTTGAAAGGCACATCACGGCAACTTTGTCCAATAAAATTATTCGCTTCGAGGGAATACCTACGATTCGGCGGCAAATAGGAAATACGGCTTCCGCTATCCAGAAATATACGTATTTATTAGAATAGATCCGGCGCTTTCTCTAACCCTTGTATAGGTTTAGTCCGATCGAACGAAACGCCCACAATATACAGAGTGGCGATGGAGTAAAGCACGCATACGTAACGCAACTGTTGGACTTGCTGAATTCTATAAATAATAAAACAAAAACAAAAAATGATAGAGTTATTTCATGAAACACAGAGACAACAGAGTCCCGTCACATTTGGACGCCGCAACCGCGCAACAAACGATTATTTATTATTCATTCTGCATAGCGATTTTCGTGCGCCGTGAGGCTCATCTTCGGAGGCAATCACATCCAAGTGCCGCTCAACGTCGAAAAACTATTACGGCTTTGTGGGGTTAAATAATATTTGTCTATGAACAAGTTTCCTGCGGATTTTTCAGCCGAGTTATTTTAGAACGAAATCCTTTCGGTATGGAACGAGGGTCGGGATCATTTTGATTTATTTTTATTACATCTTGTGCTTGTTTCTCGTCACGTTTCTCATTTTGCTGGCCGATTTTCGACGCTTGTTAACTAATAAGCCTACCGTACAAGAATTTGAGGTAAAATAGCCTCTTTTCAGGGTCAAAACCTCTAAAATATATGGCGTTGCCTCTTTTTACTTTTCGAGCCACGACAGTAGTAGGTGTTGTATTTGTCGAACGGATTTTTTGGTGTTTTTTTAGACGTTTATCTGTGGTCTGTCAACCGTTGGCGATTGTCTT